ATCTCGGTCATTTCGACGACCCCTACTCCGGTTTTTGCGATTTGAGCCACGGTCTGATTCCTCTGCGTGATCATTTGAACGGTTTGCCTCATGTCCGATCGCGTGTACCTTGCCAGCCGACCTCTTGTCTATTGCTACCGGTGTTGCCTTCACGGTAGATGCTGTCGCATCATCTTCTACTCGGATGTGCTCATTGATGCGCTGCATTATCTGGTCCATGGATGTCGGCTGGTGCATCATAAGTGAGTCCCGCAGTCTATGTCCGACCGGGAGACCACGCTTGTACTGCGTGATTGCAAAGTTGACTGGGCAATCCAAGATCTCGTTGAAGGTTTTCTAGTATCTGGAGTTGTATGCCTTGAGCGTGTCGCTCGACTCCATCTTGACACTGAGAAGGTGGTTAACTTCCTTCGGTGTCTTAGTGTTGGTTTTGAAATGCGTCACAAAGGCTTCCGCCAACTGATGCCACCTTTCTATGCTTTCCTCCGGTAGCTTCTCAAACCATTTCAAGCCCAGCTCGCCCAAGCTTGATGGGAAGATAAGGCACATAATGGCGTCATTTTGCCTATGTCCGGCCATGACCTGTCGGAAGTGGCTTACATGCATATAAGGATCGGTTTTTCCATCGTAGAGCGTGAACTTTGGCTGGTGGAACCCTGCCGGAAGTGGTGTTGTTTCTATCTCCAGGGAGAAAGGGGTGGCGCTCAGCCTTGCCAAATCTGTGTCTAGAAGGAGTGGCGCAGCTAGGCGGGGTGGAGGCATTCCGACCTCTTCACTGGCGTGAACCCCATAAGATAGCCGCTGGAACGCCAGCACCCTCTGAGCCTCTCGCTGGCGAGCCTGCTCCTCTAAGACTACCCGCAAATCGTCTGAACGAGTGGAACAAGAATACGTCGATGTCGTCGCTGGACGTGAAGGTTGATAGGTGCTGTCTTGCGCGCTGGACTTCTCTATGTGCGCGTCGGAATCTCCAACCTTGTAACTTCTGGTGATTGAGATGGACGGAGTACGCTGCTGGCTCTGACTGCCTGAACGACGGGGTTGGGTGCGCTTACTGTGGTCTCCCACTCCAGCTACACCCTTCCCTTTGACATGCCGCTTAAGATCCTCTATCTCCGCCACCATTCGCCGAATGACGGCGTCTTGGTCCCTTAGCTTGTGTTCCAGTCGTCTGGCATGCGATTCTCTCCGCCGCCGGTGACCGTCTGGACTCCGTGAATGACCAAAGCTTCTTCCGCGCTTATCCCGCGCGTCTCTTGAATGTCCCCCTGGAGAAGTCTCCAGGTCCGCCATATTAAGGATGGCGGGATGTCCCTCTCTGCATTTGTCTGACTCCGGGGTAACTCCGTCGATGGCAGACAACAGAATCTCGTCGTTGTTCGCCATGGACGGCGATCAGATGAGCCTGGAAGACAAGGTTTTGTCTGTCAAGTTCCCACAGACGGCGCTAATTGTACGGGGAGCAAATATTCTGGCAAGCCCGTACTCCTTTCTTCCAAGCTCTTGCCTGTCTGATCGACCTGTGAGCACAATGGCAGTGAGCTACCCGGCGGTGTGTGGCCGGAATGCCCCTCCAACGATCAAGTTAGACACACACAGGGATAGAGAAAGAGAGAGAGGATTGAGTGTTTAGTGTAAATCTCACCAAATGTTCATCTGTCTCCGTATGGGGGGCGCAGACTCGTTTATATACCTTCTGCGCCCCAAATCTACTCCCATTAGTCTCTCGACACGTGGTGCTGCTGTCCCATCTGTCAGCGCAAATCTAGCTGAACATCACCTAACCAGACTGCCAGCTCGCACTATTGGGAGCTCGGCAGTCGGGCTGCAGCATCTCGACTGCCAAAGGCCGTGCTGTGTTACTAGCTAGAGCGCTCTGCTCGCCTAGCTCAATGACGACTGAACTCGGTTGCATTCTAGCACAGCCGAGCTCGGGACAGCTCATGCTGGTTAGCTGTCGGCCTTCCTGTCGGGCTAACCCACGAACCGTGGAACCCAGTGAGGCAGCGAACATCTCGGCCGAACCATCACTCGACCGATTTCTGCACCCTAAAGCCAAATAGCTTGGTCTAACCATGCCTTGCCTTAGCTAAGCAAAACATTTCTGGACAAGCCCATGCTACCACGACCCAACAGTGTTTGGCCAAAATCTGCCCGGCCATTACCACGGCCCAATCCAGATTATAAATCTCCCTCTCACTCACCGTTGGCCGACAATCACCATTTTTATCATCAAGCCACCACCAGCCCAGATTTGATATCTACGAAATCATATTTGAGATTAATATCTTCATATTTAAAATAAAAGAACTTAGATTTGATGGAAAAAGAGAAATCGAAATATTGCAATGAAAAATCAAGAGTTTTTTGTTTATTTGTTCATAAATCTAAAAGTAAAATTTGACTATGATTCCTTAATTTAGTATGTACTCTGTTTTTTATAACAGTAAAATTTTACTCTAGTTAACAACATACTGATCTGTTTAACGACAGTAAAATTTTACTTTGAATCATAATAAATTTTACTCTGATTCTGAGTAAACTTTTATTCTTTTTTTATTTATTTATTACAAAGTAAAAATTTACTCTGAATCAAAGTAAATTTTATTACAATTCAAAAAAAAAAATATTCTAAAACAAGCTGCGAGGATGGCTTTATAGGAGAGTGCTATGTTATGAACCAAAGTAAAATTTTATTGTTTGAATAACAGAGCATCATGAAAAGAAGAATAAGCAGAAGAAGAAAAGAGAGAATAAGAGAGAGCATAAATGGTGAGTAACATATACAAACACACACACACACATAGAGAGAGAGAGCATGAACCATCAAAACTAGAGAGAGAGAGAAAGTGAAGGATCTCAGATCTGAGGTTTTGCGAATCGTCGCAAACCGTCATTTTTCGGTGATGATGACTGTGAATGATCTCAGATTTGAGGTTGTGGATGCGACAAGTGACGGTGGTGATGAAGACGGTAGAAAAAGAGTTCTATGGTGAGTGGCAGTGGCGCTGGTGGAGAGTGGCGGTAGCACCGATGGAGAACAACAATGATAAGAGCGAAATAGAGCGAAGAGAGATTGAGATAGCAGAGAGTGATTGTAATCTAATATACACATATATATGAGAGTATTATAGTAAAAGAAATATGTTTTAAAATATTAGAGGGTTTTGAAAGGATCTATATAATGCTTATCCTTTTTAGGGATAACTTAGATACTGAGGGGTCTATCACCAAATCTCTCTTCAAAATTCATTGATGAAAAAGGAAAGAAAAACGAAATTACTATATATATATTATTAAAAAAATATTATTATTATATTTTTTTATAAGAAACTAAACTAACAAAAAATTGACAAATTTATTTATTTTCTTAAACCAACCAAAAAAAGAGAGAAAAGTCTGTTTGGTATTGTTTTTTATTTATTTATTTATTTTTTTTGGTTTTGAATATCATTTTCCTATCATTTTGATTAATGAAAAATTGATAATACATGAAATCAGCTTTTGATAACTCTAAAAACTGGTCAAAACTTTTTCCTGAAACGGGACATTTTTGAAAAAATAAATAAATTCTTAAAACAGTTTTCAAAAACAATTACTACAACAAACAAGGAACAACACGTCTTCTAGAGTAAAAAATTTTGACTCCAAACCAAACAAACGGACCAAACCAAAACCAACCGTACGAACGGAATTTCAAAACCTTCCGTAACGGCACAGTCTCTACTTTAATTACAAACAAGTCCAATAACTTTTAAATATTCACAAAATCACCCCCAAAACAACCAATCAACCTTCCAAAGCTATAAAAATTTGAAACCCAAACACATCATGTATGCGTACGTACCCAGCTCAGAGAACACACCCAAAAAAAGTACACAGCGGTATCAAATGCTTTTACCATGTCAGGATCTCCTATCTTTTCTTTTCTATAACTATAAACGTATATGTATAGATGATATAACTATTTGAACGCACAATCAAACCCATCATCAAAACACTCTCTGTTCATATAATAGAAAATGGAGATTAAGGTTGGAACCGATGGAGATGGAAATTCAACTTACATTCCGGCGGCCTCTTCAGTCAACCCCCTCTTCATCGATCAAGAAATGCATGGTTCGCCACAAAAAAAAAAAAAAAAAACCCAAAAAAGTACACAGCGGTATCAAATGCTTTTACCATGTCAGGATCTCCTATCTTTTCTTTTCTATAACTGTAAACGTATATGTATAGATGATATAACTATTTGAACGCACAATCAAACCCATCATCAAAACACTCTCTGTTCATATAATAGAAAATGGAGATTAAGGTTGGAACCGATGGAGATGGAAATTCAACTTACATTCCGGCGGCCTCTTCAGTCAACCCCCTCTTCATCGATCAAGAAATGCATGGTTCGCCACAAAAAAAAAAAAAAAAAAACCCTTTAAAACCCTGTCTCTGCTTCTTTCGATTGATCACTTTTGATCACTTTAGTCTTCTTCTTTCTTTGTTTTTAGATTATACACATATATGCAGTGAAAAACCCTTTAAACCCTCTCTCTGTTTCTTTCTATTGATGTCTGTATTTTGCTTCTTGTTGTGTTTTTAAATTATGTGTATATATATACCAAAACCCTTTAAATCCTCTTTCTGTTTCTTTCCATTGATCACTGTATTTTGCTTGTTCTTGTGTTTTTACATTATGCATATATATGTAAGAATGTATGCGGGTATTTAATGTGTGTGTTTGTGTGTTTTGATTTTGTGGTTTTATTAGCTGCTCTGTTGGGTAATCATCCAAACATTCATCGGAGGAGTGAAATTATGGGGAACCCATTAGATATGACTGAGATGATGATTGTCAAAGAAATGGAGAAGAGGAAGATAAGGGAGGAGATTCTCACGGCAGAGCAGCTGTTGCGGCGGCGAGAGCTGGAGGCGGAAATTGTTAGGGAAATCATGATGGAAAGAGAGATTTTTATGCAGCAAGGCAGCCTAGGGTTGCCTTTGAAGAGGCCGGAGGGGCAGGGGGTTCTGTCGTTGGGACGACGACATCGGTTTGGGATTGGGGAAAGGCCGGTGACGGGGTTGAGTTGGCAAGAGGCCCGGAGTGATGGGACTTTGTCAATGGTGAGGCGAGAAGGGGGCGGTGCTCTTGGTGGTTCTCTGTTTCAGTGTCAGCCGGAAGCGGCCATGGCCACACATGGGATTGCGATCAAGCCCACCTACGATCTTAGTAATGGACAAGTGCTCCCAATGGTGAGACGAAACATTTCTTATGGGTTTAGGCTTCTTGTTTATTCTTGATTTTTATTGCATTTGTTACGTATTTACTGCCATTTCTTTGAAATTATGTTCCTGTAAGTTGCTTTGTTGTCGAAGGCCGTGAATCAAGAATTTGACGGGGGATTTTGATCCAAACATCGCCTAAACAATTTAGTGCCGTTTAGGACAATGTAACAATTTTTGGCCAAATTTTTGATGATTGATTATTATAGGGCATCTAAATAACTACACTCTGATTTAGAGACTTGAAAATTTTGGTAACTGCAACGCGAAATGGGAAGGTCCAATGGCTTTGTAGCATAGTTCCATCAAAGGATGTAATTTTCGAGCTACACATAAAAATACTTTTTTAATTAGTTCTTGAAATGCTCTTTTCAGATATTTCTTTCCCATTTCAAAATTTTTTTTTCATAAAAAAATAAAATAGAATCTTATAGTAATGTTGTATTATGTAATCAATTGTGATATCTTTATCTCCCTCAAATTTATTTATGCTTGCTTACATCAATTGGGTTCCTTTTAAAGCCACCCTTGTTAAAGTAGGGGAGGCTTTTTAGGTAACAGCACATGTTCTAATCTTTTAGTACTTGGTTAATGATTTGTGAGGAGCATTGATGCAGTAAGGAAGGTGAATATTTGAAAGTTGAAAAGGGGGCAATAGGCTGACATCTTCTTGTATTTTTCAGCTCGTTGAGCTCTTGTTGAATTTGAGAAGATGGAACATGGAGTCAGGTTGAAGGGTATCAAAGGTGTTAAAAAGAATTTGGTTGAGCTTGCTGAGTTTGTTTGAATGTTTTTATTTTTATATGTATTTGTTTTATGTTTCAGGGGTTTGGGAGTTGTTTTTTTTACCAACAAAGTCTTTCCTGTTTCTATGGTGTACTTATGTTTACTCTAAATAAATTTGTTTTCTAATTTTTTTTTTTAAAGATTTATTTTCTTTTACCTTAACTGTTTTTGAGCCCTTCTATCTGAATATTTGACCAAAATAGGAAAATTCATCATTTGGGAGAATTTTGAAGTTCTCCATTTTTTGTTCAATCAAATACAATTCTCAATTTTTAAGTCAATTTGATTTTTTATTCAACTAAAAAACATATGCTTGGATTTGGTTGATTATACATTTCACAATTATGTGAGAAGTAACTCTGTTTCTCCTTTTGCATTAAACTCTCTCTATTATCTAGTAAGAAAATTCGTTGTGTCATTTTTCTTTTTTCTTTTAATTTTTTGGAAAGAAAAATATCTGTCACTTCTTGATTTCTAGAATCTTAAATGAGTTTCAAATATTGTGGTTGCACCTAATACTTTCTTATTGAAACCATTTTATTTTTTTTACATTTTTGCTGACTAGATTGACCAGATTGGAAAAATTAGTGTGTGCATCCTCATCTATGTTTGATGCTTTTGTAGTTGGATTTATGTTGATTTGAAGCTGACTCAGTTAGATAAAAATTTGTGTTTGGATTTATGGCCTTTTTTAGTTGGGGCAAGTAACAAACTGTGGTAGGATTTATTTTCCTCATGCCTTTTGCTCAGTTATCTTCCATTCCTCCATGCCCTTGACATCATTATTCTTATCATTAGAGTTTCTTCATCATCATTATCATTGTTGTTTTGATTCATTATTGTTTGTTATTATTTTGATGTAGGTTAAGCCTACAAACTCAAGTGTTGCTGGGATGAAGCGCAAATTTGAAGTATCAGTAGCTAAATGTGGCGATGGTACTCCCTCTGTGAATGTGGGCAAAGAAATACAAAAAGAGTGGAGCTGTGCTCTCTGTCATGTCACTGTCACATGTGAGCGGCATTTGCAGGAACATCTGAAGGGAAGGAAGCACAAGGCAAAGGAGAGGGCATTATGGGAAAGCAATACAAAAGTGAACAATAATCCCAGCAATTCAAATAAGTTGGTTGTCCCAAGTGGCCATAAGAAGCCAAACCTAGACGGGCACCGGGATGGAAATCATGAAAAAATGAATGATATGGACAATGTGGATAATGGAGTGCAGCAAAAAGCAAACTTGGAGAAGATAAATGGTGGTGCCGAAGAGAGTGAAATGCAGACAAATTTGGAGTCTGATTTCAAATTCTGGTGCACAATGTGTAAAGTTGGGACCGCAAGCGAAGTGTTGATGACCGCTCATCAGACAGGAAAGGAGCACATAACTTTGTTGCAAGAAAATGGTGGCGGTGTCATAGCTATAAAAAACATGTTGGATAAAAATCAGAGTTAGTTATTATAATCAAAACTTATAGAGGCAATGGAGTCCTACAAAAGATTAGGTTGATCACTAATTTGCTAATTACACCTCCCAATATAGATATATACATTGATGGCAATGAAAGAAAGCAGCTTCCATCAGTTGATTTGATCTGAATTTATGGGTTTTTTATGGCAATTAGATGCTACTATTTTGTTGCTGTATGCCTTGATTTTCTGGATTCCCCAGATTCGAAGATCTGAAGCACAAGAAAATTTGTGTTTTTGAACAGTTGGCAATTCTGGATTTGGTGATAATTGTGGTGAGGTTCTCCAAACTAGAACTAAGAATGACAGATTTGATCTCATTGTAGCCCTCATGCCCAGTTTCATCAAAGCCGTTAATTGATAAAAAATTTTATTCCTTGTCCTGTGAATCTCTACTTTTCTTTGAAAATAGGATGTATTTTTTGATAAAACGAGCAACGTCATTAGGACCATTACTCATACCAAAATTTCATCGTAACAACTAGAACAATTTTTTGTCAAGTTATAAGGCCCGACCTTGGTTTCAACAATGCCTAACAAGTCAATTTAATTATCAGCTAAGCGTTTATAGATACTATATGCTGTTTAGAGGGGTGATTAATGAAACCTTCTCTTTCTTTTTTCCCTTTCAGAATCAACAATCTGAAACAACCCTAAGACCTTTGCTAGCTCAAAAGAACCAAATATGACAGAAAGTAATTAGGAGCTGACAAGTTAGTTAACTAGAAAATTGGAAGATCATAAGCTAGTTATACTGATATGGTCTCTGTTCTTTTTAAGTAAATGGTTGCTGACTTAGTTTTGATAAAAAGATATCAAGCTAGTATAAATTAACGGCTGATAGTACTAAATTATTGCATTTGTTTGTCTCAATTTCGGATTTCTTCAAGAAATTATCACGCTTTTGATTCGATTTGGGATTTCAATGCTGCTACATGCTTCTAAAGGGAAAGCTAAGGAAAATTAAAGAATTGGAACAATGGTCCACCTTATGCTTTGCAGTTTTAGGGATCACCCATGCTGTTAATCGTGTTTATAATATAGCAATTATCAAACAAGAAGAAGATTAAGTTGATGGCTTTGGACAATAATTGAAGTAACTGACTTGTACATTTAAAAGAATAACAAATAATCTCAATTGATTGATAACAACATCAAATGAGAATTAAAATTTTCGGCAATTAACATGTTGACAAATTACCTATATAACAGCATTTAATAACTATATATAAAATAAGAAGAATATGCTCAATTGAATAACTATATTAAAATATCTTTTATGTATAAAAATTACAAAAAATAACAAATAATCTCAATTGATTAATAACTTCCATATTCACTTGAGCAACTACACCTATGATGTGTTTTTCCCTAAATCTTCTTCACTTTAATAAGAGCGAACCACAATTTTGAACCCACTCGAAATGACCAAAGTTGTACAATCATTCCTTCGTACAGCCTATTGTTCTTCACAACACGATTCCAACTTGTTGTAAGATTGTAAGTTGTACTTACTTTTCTTGATTTTTTAGGCATGTCCCACTTCTTAAGACATATGTCAGATTCATGTCCCGACGGTTCAATTAATTTGGCTTCAATAGGTGTCTTATGATTTCCACTTCTTGTGTTAAGCAAGTCCTTCTCTTCTTGCGTGAGGAATCCATTATCGATTTGACATAACGGCAAAGATAGACGCCCATGTGTATGGCTAAGGTCTGTGCGGTATAATGGCTTTTCAATCACAAAATTCAATTCAATACCATTCAGTCTTTCGATGTAATTCTTGAATTTAGCAGGCAATTCTGGTGGAATTACAGTAACCTTTTCAATCATCCTCCTCTTCTTTGCCGTGCCCTTTTCTTCATCATCACTGTAATCTCCATCATCGTGTGGCTGTTTTGAACAAACTTTCTCAGATTTCTGAACCATCTTCTTGATTTCATCCCCATAATCTCTATCAACTGAGAATCTTGCAGGCTTCGATACAAAGGACTGGTCAGGCGACTTCAATTTCCACAGAATTTTCGTAGGCTTCTTTCTCATTGTTGCCTCAACCTCAGATATCTGATCAACTGGCACTACAACAGAACTTATATTCTTGCAGTGGTTGATGTGCTCTCTCATTGATCTTTTCCCCTTTGGGATTATAACAGATTTTCCAAATGGTGATCTTTCTCCATTATTATCATCATCATCATCATCAACATCAATAACAACAGAACATGAAGAAACAACACCATTCTTCTTCGAGCCCTCTCTGTCGACAGAGACAGAGTGAGTATGATCATCATCGTCATCAGAAAGTGGCTTATGGGTTGAGTTGTGTAACTCAGACATAGTGAGCCCATATAAATCAACATTACTGTTCTTGACGAACTGCCCTAAGACCTTCAATTTCGTGTCATCATCGAGTTCGAGAAGACCTTTTCTTGAACGCTCTACTTTCTGATGGTATTTAGCCCAATCAGATGGATTACCAACATCCAACATCAACATGTGAATAAATTTTGACAATGGATTATCAATACCCATTTTCGTCTTCTTCTTGCTGGTTCTTGAATAAAAAAAAGAACACCAACACTTTTGGTGGTGACTTGGAGAATGAGAGCGCAAATTTGTGGGGTGGGATACCTATGCTTAGCGATGTATATATATATATAGATTTCCTAAATTGAATGGACAACTGGCTTGAACTGAAACTTCCAAAATCAGATTTTGGATTGCCAAATTGGTGTTTTGGTATACTTGGGACTGAAGTTTCCGAACTGTCTTGAACTGAAGCTTCCAAAATTAGATTTTGGAGATTTTAATAATGCTCTGTTTTTAGGAGATTTTAATAATGCTCTGTTTTTAGGTTTCCAAATTGGTGTTTTAGTATACTTTGGACACTGAATTTGTGGTATATAGAATTCCTAAATTGAATGGACAACTAGACCAGACTACTTGAGACTGAAGTCTCTGAACTGCCTTGAACTGAAGCTTCCAAAATCGAATGTTGGAGATTTTAATAATGCTCTGTTTTTAGGTTTCCGAATTGGTGTTTTAGGTTACCAAATTGGTAAATTGTACTCACTGTACCTATGGAATTTTGTTTTTTTACCCTAGTTTTGAGGGGTCCAAACTCTAACACCTTCCCCCCAAAACTTGGTCTGACTTTAAAATAATTAAATAATTATTAAGACATAAATCAATATAATACAACTAGCTAATAAAAAATTGTAGGTTATTAGTCTAAATTTACTCATGTTTATCCACTTTTTATAAATTTGTAGTCATGTTTGGTGCAATTTATTGAGATTGTGTAATTTTTTTTTTAAATATTGTGAATATATACCGAAATATTTGGTATAACTTTCGCTTACATTTTTTTAGACAAAAAAAAGAGTTTATTTATTTATTTATTTATTTATTTTTTTGAGGGGGAGGGGATAACAAGTCAGTGGGTATTTGAAAAATTAATTATAAATTAATGATAAAATTTATAAAATATTAATCATGATTAAAATCATTAATTTTTTCATGAATTTGTAAAAATTTTACGAAACCACCACTGGGTAGTAATTTTTCCCTTTTTTAAGAAAAAAGAAAAGAAAAAAAAAAGTATTAAAAAGCTGGGAAATAAATGTTTTTAGCTTTTGAATATTAAGAAGTTATAATAAAAAGTTAAACCTAATAAGCTCTATATAATTATTTGAATATTATTCATTGAGCTGACCCTTAAAACTTTAAAAGTGGGTTAATTAAAAAAAACAATAAGAACCTAGACAAGAAACCAATTTACTTTTTTTTGATTCATAAAAAAAAGAAAAAAAATAATTTACTTTGTTTAGCAGAAATTAAGCAAAATATTCTTTCTTTTTTTTTTTTTTTTAATATGATTTCATATCAATCAAATAGACTATATTTTTATATTAATTTTTTTGAGGGTCACTAAATGAGACATTTTTAAGGCTAACCCTTGTATAAAATGAGATATCTAAATTTTTGAAAATATGGAATTGAGTTTGGGGGACCATTTCAAATGATTCCATTTTTTTTTTTTTTTTGTAAATACATGCATATAAAAATAAAATTTTCCAAAAAAAATTGGAGAGGCTAAGACTGCCCCTCCACCCTTGATTAAGAGATCAATAAATAGTCATTCTATTCTTGCCTAAAATCATTTCAGCAAACCAAACACTAATTAAAAACTTTTCCTGGAGGGAATTAACTGAGAAAAGATTCAGTCATACTATATACATATGAGTCCTATTCATTCAATACAGAAAGAGCCTTGTAAAGTTGCAATATGTAGCCATGGACTCATCCGCAAAATCTCTGGTTCAACAGAAAACACATGTTCTCTTATTATACAAAAAAGAAACCCTATACTATTGCAAGTTTTTTTGTTTTTGTTTTTGTTTTCTTCAAATGAGTTGTGTCTTTTTAGTTATGTTAATTAACCTCACACATGTTAGACTGAAGCTGGATTTTTAGACTTTATTTTATTTTTTATTTTTTTAATCTTGTGAGATCAGGGGTGCTGAGCAAATTTGCCAGGAATATGATTATTTCAACTTCCCTCCAAAGTTGACTCTAGCTCTTACATCATTCTCTCAATTGTCTTGACAATACTGCTATATCCTCTTATTCGAGTGAGCAAGTACAATTCAGTGTGTTTGATTTCACTTTTTAGAATTCAGTTTTTTGAAAATTGAATTTTTTATTTTTTATATATATATATATTTTTGTTTTTAATGAATATTTTTAAAATTTTAATCAATTTTTTTAGATGCATCTTACTTAAATGTATCTAAATAGTAAAATATTTGTGAAAAATATTTTAAAAATCAATAGATACACAAAAATACGAAAAATATACTGAATTTTCATTTTTTTTTTGGTGGCATTTGGTGAATTTTTTAAAGATTTTTTTTTCACAAATATTATATTTTTTAAGTGTATTTATGTTAAGTGCGTCTAAAAATAAAAATAAAAAAAATTCTTAAAATATTAAAAAAGTTCAGTGAAGAAAAAAAAATACAAAAACAAAAAAATAAAATTTGTTGAAA